ACACACAGAGTCATATACCTACTCTGCTCACGCACAAACATACAGTGTGTCCTGCTCTCCATATTTATTACAGTATGAGAAAGCCTCCGTCTGCACAAAAACAGAAACGTCGTCATGCTTTAAGCTTGTGAAACTGTCCAGCTGTGAAGGGAAAAATTATTAGGACTAATATTTTTTTTCCACTTGTCTTAAATCGACTGTTTTAACGTGTTAATTAAACCCGGTCAACATTTAGATTTGACCATAACACTAACAGGTTGCTTGTTCTGTTTCCTCTGTGAGTTTTATGTGAATGAGAGTAACTACAGGTAAATTCAAGTAAAAGTTTATTTATAAGGATAAAAGTTTGGATTTGAGAATGTAAGCTTCTGTGAGTATAAAATGACGTTTTTATGGTTTTTTCCCCACTGGGTTCACAAAGAGAGATGCTCCATCTTTGTTAACTTTATTTTGTACTTTATTTTAATAAAGGATTAACTAAAACATATGCTTTATTCAAGTTTGGTTTTTGTCAGCTTTATTCCTGTTCCTGTATTAGTGAAGTACTTAAAGTCAAAATCAGAAAATAATCTCATCCTCAGCAAAGTAACTTTAATCTGATGACACAATTCTTTAGTGAAGGGCTGAAAAAAACAATTCACATAAACTCTTTTTTATTTGTATAAACTCCGTAAGATAGTGGCATTATAAGCAGTATAGTAGAACAATGTATAACATATACACTCAATAGCCACTTTATTAAGTATACCTTGCTAGTTGGACCAGCTTTCGACTTCAGAACGATCTTCATTTTTCATGACATAGATTTAACAAGATGATGAAAACAATCCTCAGAGAATTTTGTCCATGTTGACATGATCACTTCACATTTGTCAGCTGCACATCCATGATGAGAATATCCTGTCCCAACCATCAGAAGAGAAGTATACTGTGGTCATAATGGGACGGACATGGTCAGTGACAATACCTGATGCTTTCATGCTGTTTACACCAAATTTTGACCCAACCATGTGAATTTTGAAGCAGAAATGAAGACTTATCAGACTAGGCAACATTGTTTTTAATCTTTCATTGCCCAGTTTTGTCAATACCATTTTAATTATAGCCTCAGTTTTCTGTTCTGGAAGCAGCACATTGTGTTGTGTATTCAGAGATGCTCTTCTGCATAACTTCTTTTGTAATGACTGGTTATTTAAATTATTGTTTCCTTCCTATTTTCACACAGAAAACTGATGGTTACTTTCTGATGATTATTGGGAACCTTTCTGTTTCTAAAAAGTCAAATCAGTCTCTCTGACACCAGCAACCATGCAATGTTCAAACTCATTTTAATTACCTTTCAGTGAGATCCCGATGCTCAGTTTGAACTTCAAAGGGTCAACTTATCAATGGCATTATGCCTAATTGCAACGGATTTCTTCTATGTAATAATTAGAGGACTCAGTTAGCAGTAATACTTAATATAGTGGCAGGTGAGAGCATATAGGAGGAAGCAATTTTACTATGTAAAGAACTCTAACATAGCTTCATTCTTCTATGAAAAGTCTTTACAAGTCGGAAATACTACAGCGCCGGGAGGACTTGAAGGCAGCACCACCCCTAATCAGCGTGGTTGTTGCTCTTGAACACACCTCGTAACATTTTCTCCAACAACAGGAGACGGAGGAGAAGTGAACGCCGAGCGAAAGGCAAGATATGACGCATTAATAATCTTTCACATGAAGCTCAAAGTGAAATGTGATGCTTGGTCTCGTTTAAACGAAGCTTAACCGGCGAAAGTCGCTCCTGTTCGTTCGTGTTTTCGTTTCCTGAACTGTTAGTGAAACAGAGAGCCGATTCAGAGGCCTTTTAAAACCACATGACAAACAAACACTGTGTCCAAGCTTAATCTTCAACACTGTGGGATTTGTAAAAGCAAACCTGCAATTCAAGGTGGTTCCTGTAAGTTTATTTCGCAACCATTGTCGAGGTCAAAGGGTTCAGTGGTTGACAGCTCGATGCGCTAATGTACGGAGCCCCGCAGGGGACATGGGAGAAAAAAAATTAAGACGGACTTTTGCGAGATCCCGAGTTTGTTTTGCGAGATCTCGCAGAAGTCCGTCTTAATTTTTTTTCTGCCATGTCCCCTGCGGGGCTCCGTACTAAAGAGACAGGGAGGACTAATTAAAGGGACAGTGTAGAATTGATGCTGTAGGTTTGTTTTTGTTTGTTTTTTTTTTTACTAAATTATAAGTTTATTAACGTATGTATTTGCCATTTTTGTTGCCAGAAAATTACAAAATTTGATCAAAAAATTTGTCATGGAATTTTTTTTCAAAATAACTATTTTTGAAATAGTTAAAAATATTTCAAAATTGAGTGCAGCTGTCAAGTGAATGCAAATAAAAAATATTTTGGTAAATCTTAAAGAGCACAGCGATATCAACTGAAGTGAACAAGGGTCAAGCTGTTCTTTACAGTAATACCAGTGAGTGCCACAAGATGGCACAGTTAGTTAGTAACTTTAATTTAACTGGAAACATTGTAATTAGAATAATTGGAACCAAATATTCTTGGGTCTGACTGTTAGTAAAACAAGAGCAAAATGTATTTGTTTTCCGTATTTTAGTCTTTCTCTGGATGTTATATCAAACCACTCAATAAGAAGACTAGATAGTATTCTAGTGAGATATCAGTATTTAATTGGGTCAATTTTGCTGTAGTACTTTTAGCTTTTTTAGCATTTTAAACTCTGAGCTATATTTTGAGGTTTTTAAACCCAAATTCCCATTTCTTGACATTAATCATCAATCAGTTATTCAAAACTTTTTACCTTTTTATCTATGATTGTTTTAGCTCTTATGTGTAGAACCAATACTTTTAATTTCATTTCATTTTTATTTTTTTTATCATTTATTTGTAACTAGCTGCTTCATCTGTTCATAATATCTCCTCGGACATTTTGCCAGATCATATATTACCCCAGGTTTCATTGTCTTTGTCTCGGGATCCAGGATGACGAGCTATCAACTGAGCGCGAAGGAGGACATGGTGGAGACGTTTCTGGATGCTGCAGCAAGAGGAGATATGTCCCAGGTGTCCACCTTGCTGTCCCATGTGCCCTCGCTCATAAACCAGACAGGATACAGCGGCTGGACCGCACTAATGCTTGCAGCTCGCAATGGACATTTTCATGTGGTGGAGAAGCTGCTGTCACATGGGTACATCACTGCATTTCTCTTAATTTGTAATGTTATTAATGTACCATTTGTTAAGTGAACAATACTAAAGAGATATATTGTGGAATATTTTTTCAAAGCTGCATTAATAATTTTTAGCATTTAGGGGATGCATCTATTCCACATATGTTACGTTTAGGTAAATATTTGCAGACTTGATGGGCAGAAACATAGGAACTGGAAAGCATTATGAAAAGAGGCTAAAGTGAGGATTTAAAATATTTAAAGAAACTGAACCTGAAAGAGCAAAGTGAACAGAAGTCTGTATTTGTTTGTTTTTCAACAGAAGTTCCTTATTTGTGTGCACAAACTTGGCCAAATAAAATGATTCTCATTCTGAAACAAAAGATGTAGCTAGAATAAAACTTGGCTACACACAGGTACGTTAAATTAAAACGTATTAAAAATTAAATAGGAGTGGACTGAAACTCAGAGAGCGATAAAACTGTAGCTAAATTTTTGTTAGCATATAGGAGCTATATGCTAAAAATGATATTTTAAAGTATAAAACAAGGCAAAATAGGGATAAAACTAGTGGTGAAAATACAGTAAAATTAGGAGTTGCAAGAAAACCAAACAAGACTAAAAATAATAAATCTGCATCAACAGTGTGATGAGGCAAAAACCTTTACTGAAATAAATCAATATAAAAGCTGAAGAGACAAAAAATAGTAGCAAAAAAAACCCCATTTAGTATAGAAAAACATCCTCAAAGAGGCTATAATAAGCAGGTACGGACAAAATATTGGTGCAATTTAAATGAAAACATCTAAAAACTTAAAAGTCTAAGTTGTAAAAGCCTCAGACTTTGATGTGTTGTAGCCTTGAATGTATAAATGGATTCCTGACTTCTCTAAAACCTCTTTTTTCTTCTATCTTTTAGCTGTGATAAGTTCATAGTAAACAGTTCATCACAGACCGCCTACGATGTTGCCAAGTTCTGGGGTCACAAACACATCGCTAACCTACTCTGCCAGACAGACGATGGCTGCCGGCGAGTCCTGCCGGGCTCCGACATCAGTCCGCAGGAAAACTACTTCAGCAGGGAGACGCTGGACCGCCTGAGTGGGAAGAGGACTGACAAGGACTGGTTGGAGGCCAAACAAAGAGAACCAGATACTGTCTACCTCATATTCTCGAACCTCAGCCCCATGCTCAGCACATCCCAGGAAGACGACGGCGCAGCGGTATGTTTATAACCTACAGCCTACGGCTAGTTTACATGACAAACATGAAAGTCATGTGAAATGTGAATCTGATTGCAACAGGTTGAGAGCAAACTGTGCCGGTTCAGATATGAGGCAGTAAAGGATCTTCTGCAGAAACCTCCAACTGTGCTCATTTTCCTCGGAGTAGAGAAGAGGAAAAATCCCTCCCCTTCCTCTCCTGAGGAGGGTATCCGGGAGGCTCCTGCTTGGTTTGCTTTCAGCACTGATGAAGATGCTGCTGACCTTGTTAAACGGTGCAGGGAGAAGAACTGCTCCTTTCCAAAGATGCCAAACAGAGACCTGCTGAAACTAAACGAGGAAGAGGCCGGTGAGACACACAAAACGTGTGTTGTTGTTTGATCACCTGCCTCTCTTGTGTCGCAGTATAATACTTATTCCTGCTCTCCTTGTCTGCAAGGAATCGTGGCTCAGGCTCGATCGGTGTTGGCCTGGAACGGTCGCTACAGCTTCTGTCCGACATGTGGCAGCAGCACCAAACTGGAGGACGGAGGACACAAGAGAAGCTGTCTGAACTCTGAATGCAGGAGTCTAAAGGGGGTCCACAATACCTGCTATCCACGAGTTGGTATGAATCTGCTCATCTATCAGCTCATCTGCACTGTAGTTAATACTGTGTAGCAGCACGCTGTGCACAAAAAACATGAACAGAAAACTGTAGTTTCTCCAGTGGCTTCTTGAGGCGGGCTCTAAGTCAAGTCCTGCAGACCCCCATATTAAAAAAGCCCAACGTGGGTGCCTGTTATGCTGGTTGAAGGCACGGCCGTATGCAGCAGCCTGGGCATGATCCAGCCGTTTCCTGCTCTCTTCGCCCTTTTTGTTGTCTACTCTTTATTGTTGTATGTCAGATAAATTCAAAAAAGCCCAACATAAACGGACATGTTTCCAGCCTGGAGTTAAATATAGTTTTTATCTCTATAGCCATTTCCTTTCTTATGACAAATGAACAGAAATGTAATATTTTTGTAATTCACCTGCTTCAGTTTTATTAAAGTTTGACGTCATATCATATACTATAGTAGCTTTTGCCCACTCCTAGTTACAAAGTTTGCATATGTTTGTGATTTCAGACCCAGTGGTCATCATGCTGGTGATCCACCCAGATGGAAACCAATGTTTACTGGGAAGGAAGAAGGTCTTCCCAGCTGGGATGTTTTCCTGTTTAGCGGGATTTGTAGAGCCTGGTATGCCACACACTCGCACACACACAGAAAAACTGCTCAGCTGTTAAACAACTGATGTGAGCCTGAAGCTAATCCTCACAGGAATATTAACCATAAATCAAGTCTCAGCTATAAAAATTAGGGTGACAGCTTCTCCCTGTCATCCCCCCGCAGGGGAAACGATTGAGGATGCAGTAAGGCGGGAGGTGGAGGAGGAGAGCGGCGTGAAGGTCGGACCGGTTCAGTATGTCTCCTGCCAGCCCTGGCCGATGCCATCCAACCTCATGTTTGGCTGCCTTGCTGTCGCCATATCAACAGACATCAAAGTGGATGAGAACGAGATAGAGGAAGCTCAGTGGTTCACACGGCAACAGGTAAGTAACAGTGCGACTATTAGTGGAACTGCTAACAGGGATCATGATGTTAAGAGTTAATAATAAGTCTACTGAAGATAACTTTATAACAACAACCTGGAAACTGTTAGCATCAGCTGTATCAACTAGAAATTTTCCAGAGCTTTCATCCATATCCCATGGCCAATTCTTCTAATGCTTAATAATGAACAATTCTAGACATTAATGAGACAGAAATCCAACTTTTCTGCTTGTTTAGGTAATCGACTCCTTGTTTAGAGGAGCATCTCCAGCTTTTAACATCCCCCCCAGGCAGACCATCGCCCACCAGCTGATCAGACATTGGATCGGCATAAACGCTAACCTCTGACAGAACACCTTCATCACTCGACCTCCTGCCCAGCCGAGGAGGTCAGATGGATAGGAACGGATTTGTCCCCAGTCGATTAACTCACCACATTCCTCAGATTGTTCACGTTGTGCTTTAATAACTGCGAAGTGACTTGACGCATGTACAACAATCTCAGGTCTGACATTTCACCTCGGAAATATCTGCAGTACGATGATGAAATATGGAAGAAGAAGCGTGCTCTGTCCAGATTCAGTCCAGAAGTTGTTGTCAGAAACGGTAATTATTTAAAATAAATGTATTTTAAAAAATGTAAAGTAGAATTCTCCTCACGTGTTTTATAATAAACTACATTAAACTTTCCTTGGATTAAACAAAACATTTTTACAAGAAATTTAATCTCAAACATCCATTTCATCTGCCAAACCATTCAGAGTCCTCAGGGTGGGGGCCTTTTGTTTATGTTTGTTTTCATTTACTTTAATAAGTTCATTAAATCTAAATATTTCAATAAAATTGCACAAGAGACTCTGATGATTGCTGGATTATTTCTAGGAGCCAAAATAAACTTCAAGTATTAAATAAATTAAAGCCTATCCTTTGCATCCCTCTGTCACACCAACCCTTATGACCACATCAATGACTCTTCTCTGTGGTCCTCCTCTTTTCCTCCTGCCTAGAAGCTCCATACTGAGCATCCTTTGTGCATCATATCCACTATCACTCTTCTACACTTGTCCAAACCATCTCAACCTTGCCTCGATTACCTTCTTCAAAATGGTCAAATTATGCTGGAGCGACAGCTCATTTCTAATCCTGACCTTTCTGCTCACTTCCTATGAGAATCTTAGCATTCCGGGTTGCAAGAAGTCTGAAGCCCATCCCTAAATATATAAAGGTTACCCCAATGACTCAGTTATATATTCCCAGAGTTAATTCACAAACAAGGTTCCTTCTACAACCGTAGCTGCCTCCACCAGTGTGTGAGAGAGTGAATGAATAGTGGCATTGTAAAGCACTTTGGGTGCCTTGAAAAGCGCTATATGAATCCAATCCATTATTATTATTATTATTAAAACAGACAGCGATTTTGTCTGATTGTCTTCAATGCTCCGGTGATTATCAGCCATCTGTCCCCTGTACATTCATAGAGAGCATGGTTTGCTTTATGAGAAATAGATCGCAATTTGGAGTCCAACGGGGCGTCGCTTTTCAATAATTCATTTAATAACTTTCATGAAGAGAATTTCTAGATGTGTTCAAGGAGTGGAAGGTGTTTTGGAGATTATATGGTCTTGCAGGGAGTAGAAGTGGTTCAATATCTGACTAAGATGTCACCTGGTGGCACTGAGGATGCCTCAGTATCCTTCTAGAAGACTTGGTTGTAGCTGAACAGGGGCTAAAAGAAAAAACTGGGCACTATTTTCAGTCTCACATGGGTCCCTATTATGATATTTTGTAATAAATAAGACTCCACAGAAGCATTATGTCTGTGAATGTTCTCAGTCATCCAGGTCATCGTAGTCAAAGGAGCTTGCAAAGAAAAGCGTCTGGACTTCTTTAAGTTACTTGAAGACGTTTC